TAATTACTTTTGACCTTAAACTTGATATATGACCTTCCAAAAACACTAAGACCCATGTAACAACATAATATATCAAATATTAGCAAAATAATGCAAAACTACACTAGGAATGTGTACATGTGAATTTGACCACACATTAAAGTGTGTTGAAATACAAATTTACCTCACAACATAATGGAATTGTTGAAAGAAGAAAGAGATCAGTTCTAAACATGGCCAGAAGTATGCCGAAGAGCAAAGATTTTTCACTGGACTTATGAGGAGAAGATGCAACCAGAACAGCCTACATTTGGAATCATTGTCTCACTAAAAAGTTGGAATTTAAAGTTCTTGAAGAAAACCATCTATTAAACATTTCATATTTTTTGTCTATCAATGTTTTTTTAGCCCAGAAGGTAAACCACCCATTGGTGGGGCAAATGTCGGGCAGCATTTGCCGCGTTTTATTAGAGACAGTTACAACAAGAGAGGGGGACCAAACCAAATCCTCTCCATAAGAGGCATTCCTCTTAAAAAACAGACAAATTGAAAGAAAACACTAAAGCAAAGGACATTGGGGTGGCTAAGCCTGTCCCAATGGAAAACATCAGTAAAAAAATCTAAATGAAGGAAAACCGAATAAATCAGCATAGTAAGCTTGTTGGGCCGTAACGGGCAACTGAGAAACATGGGTAAATAATTGTTGTTGGGCCGTGGCCTGATCCGCCAAGTGATGGGCAGCCCATTTGCATTCTCTTACAACCTGGGAAAACCGGATCCCCTTCCTGAAACAAGCCAGCACACTTTCCTGAAATTCAACCCTCCATCTCCCCGCTCCTCCATCTACAATGTATTGGACATCCACCGTAGCATCCATTTCAATGATGAAACCAGAGTATCCTCTCTATATTGCCTTTGTCTGTCAATGTTATAAACATATACCTGAGTAAAGGTGAAGAAAACTTGATGATAGAAGTGAGTCTATGGTTTATATAGCATATCATCCAACTGGTTCATATAAATTACTTGATTCTAGGACTAATCCAGTCCCATATAGCAGAGATGTTCTTTTTGTGGAATCAAGTTCTTGGAAGAAAGAAACTCATTCAGCAGATTCTTTTGTAGTACTTCTACTTGACTAAGAAAGTGGTGAAAAAAAAATATGAGGTCACAAACTATTACTAATCTGGTAAATAATGAGTTTGGAAAACCTAAAAGAGCAAGGAATTTTTGTACTAGATTGAATGATTATCAGTTCATACGTGATGGTTCTATCATTGATGATGGAGAGTTGGTCCAACACGTTGCATTATTTGCAGATAAGTAGCCAGTAGATCTCCATGAAGCACTAGGTAATGAAGTCTAGAAGGAGGCTATGGAAGAAGAGTTGAACTCTATCAATAATAATAAGACTTTGGAGTTAGCTAAACGTCCTTCTAATAAGGTACTTATTGCTATAAGATGGTTATTCAAGACAAAAATTGATTTATGCAAAAGGGTTTATGCAAAAAGAAGGAATTGATTTTACTGAAGTGTTTGCACCGGTTGCAGGGTTTCAAACAATCATATTAATGGTTGTTCTAGCTATTGTGACAAACTGGGAATCAAGACAACTTGGCATAAAATCAGTTTTTCTAAATGGGCCTCTTGAAGAAGAAGAAGTTTATGTTTGTCAACCTCAAGGATTTATCATCAAAGAGAGTGAAGACAAAGTCTATAAACTGAAGAAGCCTTTATATGGATCAAGGCAGGCTCCTAGAGCTTGGAATAAATGAATTAACACATTTCTTCCAAATAATGGATTGAAGAAGTGTGATGTTGAATATGGTGTCTATATCAAAGTTATGAAAATTTGATATATTCTCATAATTTGCATATATGTTGATGATATGTTGATTAAAGGGAGTTGTGCTACTCGAATTGAAGATAATAAAGATAAAGCTCAAATGTGAGTTTGAGAGACAGACATTAGGAGATTGTCTTATTTCCGTGGCACAGAATTCACACATACTGGAGATGAGACTCTTATGCATAAGAAGAAGTGTACTCATGATATACTTGAAAGATTTGACATGTTGAATTGCAATCCTGCATAAACACCAGTTGAAGCTCAATTGAAATTTGACTAGTGTGATGAGAAACCTAAATTTGATTGCACTTTATTCAAACAAATGGTTAGTTGTACGAGATTCATCTATTACACTAGACTGTAGATATCCTATAGTGTTGGCTTGGTAAATAGGTTTATGGGTAATCCAAAAAAGTCTCCCTTGAGTGAAACTAAAAGAGGTACTGTTGATTTTGTGGTGATGTTTCGTAATCAGATTAAGGACACAAACCCAAAGCTAATGGCTTATTCAAATTCAGATTGGTGTGAAGATATTATTGAACTGGGAATACAATAGAAAAGGTCTCTCAATCCCTGATCAGACATAGAAAAGTTCACCCAAAATAGAACGAAACTTTTTCGTTGTACACACATGTGCTTCTAAGGCCAATAACGACCTTAAACATCTCAACAACATCACTAACACAATCAAACCAAAACCCAGATAATAGGCCCAATGAAAATTAAATAAAGCCTGAAATAAAAATAGCACAAGAAATCATAGGTGGCCCAACCCAAAGCAACCTTGAAGCTTCGTCTTCCAAACCCTAGTCACTCGGTCACTCCAAGGCAGCGGTTCAGGAGGAGGGCACATCGTCAAAACTTCATCTTCTTTGTTCTATGTCGTAATCTAGCCCCAGGGTTAACAACTTCAAATCCGTAGCCCATAGCCCCATAAGTTGATCTTATTCTCCTGGTTTCGCATTTTACAATCACTCCCGTCAATTGGTCATCCATTGCCTTTTGCCTGGTAGCAAAAACTCTACGATGTTGCCTAGAGAGATCAAGGCCGCACGATTGCCTTCCGTCTTCAGCCTGCGAAACTCAATGGAGTGAGTTTCAGCCCAGTTTACTCCATGCCCCCAACCCCCCTCCCCTAGAGTAAAAAAAGTAAGGTGAATGCTATACGATACCTATAAAAAATTAAGGTAATGTGTCTATCATGAAATAGTTTGATCTAAGTCATTGTTTCATTAACTTTTACATTTAAAATTTAAAATATTCAATTGCAATATTGTAATTGATACACGTGATGATGTGATTATGCGAATAAGGTGGGTAGATACATAGAATATGTCTTATATTAATAGGGAACAATTTTTTAGAACTGTCAAGATGGGCCAAATTAAAACTTGTGGACTGGCCCGTTGCAACCCATTTATTGGTGGGTTAGTGTTGTCAACTTGTCATTATTTGACCCGATTAAGTCTTGGGTTTCCTGGGCCAATCCATGTAAGTTGCGGATTAAGTGGGTTGGCTCACACGGGTTGCGGGTAGGCCCACGAGCCAAAATAATAATGTATAGTTTTGACTTTCATAATCTTTCAATATTGTTCTTTTACAACCAAAATTATTATAATTACAATTATATATTTATTATTTTACAACCATAGCAAATTAATTATTATTTCTATAATAACTATTCAAATAAATTGTTCAAACATATATTTCAAACATATATTTCATGTAAAATTGAATATAATTGTTAGCAATTAGTAGTCATAGTTTACAAATAATCACTCAAAAGGCTTAAACAAATCTTTACTTTTATATCATGAGTATTTTTGTTACATATCTTTGTCGATCTACTTTTCAAATTCTGGCATAATTAGTACAATAGTATTTAATATTCTTTAACTAAACTTAACAATAACTAATAGGTATTGGGTGTTTACTATTTTAATTTCCTATATTTGCTTTATAACTACTTACCAATATAAATATATAATCTTGGGTAATTACTTTTACATAAATTTATAATGTATAATTTATACATTGACCAACGGGCCGAGCCGTTTAACTCACAAGTTAGGTGAGTTGGATTGGGGCTGTAAAATTTCTGGTCCGCAACTAAACGGGTTGGCCTGACCCAACCTACGTAAAGCCTAACCCGTCACGGGTCGGGTTTGGCCGGACCGGGTTAGCCCATTTGACAAATCTAATTTTTTTTAGCCTAAACTTTTGGAGCCTTTACACCATCTCTAGTTTCTACTTTGGATGTTTTTACTTGGACTGTAATTTGCCCCAGACCAGACCAGACCAGACCAGTTCAGACCAGACCAGACCAGTTCAGACCAGACCAGACCAGACCAGACCAGACTTGGATAGTTATAAAAATACAAAGAAACCAGACCTTACCAGACCAGACCAGACCAGACCAGACCAGACGACCAGTTCAGACCAGACCAGACCAGATCAGATCAGACCAGACCAGCAAATTAAGGTCCAAGTAAAAACATCCTTTGTAGACATGCCGAAGTGCAGCCACAGCCGCAACCTTGTTCACAAGATTCACAACTATGTCCATTACATTAGTTATTATTAGGTGCTTAGATACTCCGTATTTTGTCTTGGAAGTTATCAAGTGAAGACCAACCACTTGGTGTGAACTTACAACTTAGGATTTCTTTAGTTGGATAGAAATTTTTAGACTGGTCTAATATGTTTAAGTCTTGTCTAAATTGGTTCATCTATATGTATTTTAAGTCTAGTCTACTCTCTTAAAATCTAATTTGGTGTGGTCTAACCTATTTAAATCTTGTCTAGTTTGTTCTGATCTAGAATTCAAACTAGTTTAGGTAAAAACATCCTTAATCAAGTTCGAAACTAGGATCAGTTTAGTGGTATTGTCAAAGTAAATGGCTTCCCAAAGTTGAATTGAATGAATCACATTTTTGAACAAAACAATGTTTTATTTTAAAAAATTGGTATGTTTTACATCTTTTTAGGGATTTTCTTATTCTCTAATTCTAATTCTCTAACCCTGACAAATTGCACATGGGAGCATGACTGTTTGTATTTTCTACTTGTAGTGCATTAAATATATTTTACTTGTCCATTGGTGCATAAGTTAGTTTAGGCATATCAGATTGTTTTTCTCATTATAATTAACTGAGGTCGTCTAAAAACTGTCCCCAATTAGAATGAATAACCAGTAACCAGTAAGAGTAATTTGCAAAGGAAGTACTGTTAATTGATAGATCCCACAATTAATACTGCATTAGACATAACCCACATACAAATAAGAAGATACTGGACTGGACATAACCCACAGGCTGGAGAGCTATTCATTGTGCTCTTTTTTTTCACACTAGTAGTTCAAGAGTAATTAATTAGACAGTGGCAATTGGAGGGCTGGTCAAAGTGCTCCCCATGGACTTCATGGCTTCAAACCTTGGCTCCTTGGCCTGGAACTTCAACCCAGCATAAAGCTTCATGTAGTCATCAAACACAAACTTGGGATACTTTTTGTTTTCCTCTTCTCCCCCCTTCTCCACCAATGCAGGTGCTGGGTAGATCACAGCGTCATCCCCCGGGTTATAGAATGATGCTAGTGACATTCGGTTTCCATCCGGTTGAGCATTAACTCGATGCAGCACGCTCTTATACTTCCCATTGGTGATTACCTGATCAAACATTCAAATCTTATATGTTACTTTGTTATTTTCAATTTAATAATAAATCGCTACCTGAATTATTAGTTCTTTTCAAACTGGCTACTCAAGTCAAAATGCAATCGGACTTTACTCTGATACCATATTAAGACGAGGTTTCATATTAAGTGAGAGTGTACCTCAAGCTGGTCACCGAGGTTGATGACAATGGAATGGCGCATCGGGGGGACATCGATCCATTCGCCATCCTTGAGAAGCTGGAGGCCACTGACTTTGTCATCCTGGAAGAGGAGAATGAGCCCGCCAGCATCGGTGTGGGCCCGGAGGCCTTTGATGAGGTCTGGGTTGGGACAGGGAGGGTAGCAGCTGACCTTTGTCCCATAGTTTGGACCCTTGGAGCCATGGAAGGCATCCTTGAGGTAGCTTTTCTCCAGACCAAGATTCTCACATAGCAACTCCAACAGCTTCTCTGCTAGCTTCTCCAGCTCCACTGCAAACTCCTTCATAACCTTCCTGTTTTGTGTTTTTTATTTTACGTACATAATCACAAGTTCATCAATTATTGGACCAGACAAGACAACAATATGACCACAAAATTGAAGAAGTTTCCTCTGTACTTAGAAAAAACAGGGCTATGTAGGGGATATTACTATTTTATAATTATACTACGTAATTGTATGTTTAAATACTTCAAATTCCTACTGGATTCTTCTTTAAATATGCAAGCACTGGCTATTGCTTCTAAAACAGACAACCTAGGTAAATAGAACAAATGACTTTCAAGAGAATATTCTAAATTATGTAAGTAATAACTTATTTTGACTTCATTCTTAAATGTCAACACTTCATAAGTAGTATTAGTTGAATATTTTATATGGTGTGGGTCATCAGATTATTGATATTGATATTCTGGTTGTTAATGATATTCAATATGATTGCTGCACATTACATAGTTATATTCCCATCATCTAATCACCTGTACTCATCTTCAAGATCTGGGATTTCAGAGATATTTGAGGAAGGGAGATGGCTCAAGAAGAAAGTGGATTCCCAGTCAAGATCATCAATTTCACTCTGGACACCATTAAGCCCCTTGGCAGCCACCATTTCCTCAAACCTCTGTTGCATACTGTTTTTGTAGTGATCCTTTGTCAACTTCTCCACCTTGTCCATAAGCTCAACTGAAATCCCATGGTCCATCACCTGATAAGGATATATATAAATACATAAAACAAAATGAGTTTAGAAAAAACATGATGATTGATGTTATTTCATACAGACTATAGGAACTTCATTTAAAAGGAAAAAAACCTCAAAGAATCCCCAGTTTTCACAAGCATCTTTTATTTGTGCCATAGTGGCAGCCTTTTCCTCTGTGTTGAGCTTCTCCAAATTAATAATGGGGAAACAAGCCATCTCTCTACTCTGTATATTTCCTTTAGAGGAAAGTAAGACTCACTCTAAGTGTGTTTGAAGGAATGAAGGATGAAGAGATATATGCCTAGAAGGGGTATTTATATAGCTTGGGAGGAGTTATTTACTACGTATTTATTAATGAAAAAAGTAAGCGAAATATAAAAAAAATTAAAAAACTATACGGAGCATGTTCTGTCTAACTTTAGTGGTTTCCTAATGTGGTTTTGTATATGAAGTTGCTATGAGACTATTTTTGAACACATATTTACCATATAATATGATCCTTTTATTTTTATTTGTGCAAGTGTATACTTGTTGTACATATATTCTTATGTTCATTTTTTCACTACAATTTTTCCTCACAAATTGAAATTCGTTTTCACTTCGAAAGTTTGTAAAAATTGTTTTGCATAGCAAATCTAATGAGTCTAAGGCCAAGGCATGCTCCCTAGTCTTAATTTAGTATGGATTAAGATGACAAATAGTAACAGACATTATGAATCAATTATATGATCAGAAGTTTAAATAGAATGGATATATATTAAGAAAAGTTGATTTCATCCCCTCCTGTCCATTAGTAAATAAATAATTTTAAAAAGGGAATTCAATTGCTACTATATACTACTTGCGTTCCAAAAAACTTTGTCATATTTAAAACTTTACCAGCTATATATTTTTATTGGAAAGTAATTATAACGAAAAATGATATGAAAATATTCTTTTTTTTAAAGTACTTTAATAAAAGTATAAAATATACGAAGTATAACTTTAATAGTAATATACTAATCAAAATCATGATCCAAATATAACATGCATGTGTACTGTGTACACAAGCATTTAGGAATGTGTACGCAAAATGTGTACAACTTTTGTGTATAAGTAGCATGACTGATCCCAAGAATGTAACTAGTGCATTTTTCCGTGATAGTAAAAGTTCACTGGTTTAGAATATTACTATTGCATTTTTACGGCAATTCGGCATAAAGATGCACTATAGCAAAGGAAAATTCACCATCTCTCACATGATTAACGGTGTTTTTTTTAACTCCATTATTATATGTACGGTTTAGAAGGGGTGATATAGGATAATTGCAATTTTCTTTTTTTACACCAAGTGACCACAATGTACTCTAAATGGACTTATCTTGGGAATCCAAGAATGTGTTCCGAACCCGCGAATAAAGTAAATTTGAGTCGCTGGAACAACTCTATATTAATTTGGGAAAATTCCCGAAATAGGACTAAAACAATTTGAAAATTCCAAAATAAGACTGTCATGTTTTTTATTCTCAAAATAGGAGTAATTACTGTCAGGTTTGGAAAATACTGCCATGTTTGAAGTCTGGTACTGCCAAAACATGACAGTAATTAGTCCTATTTTGGGAATAAAAACATGTCAGCCCTATTTTGAAATTTTGAAACCTTTTTAGTCCTATTTTGGGTATTATCCTGCTCTATAAATTACGTGCATAAGAATCCGCTCTTAACTCTTAATTGATTGATGGCATGAATCCTCATCTTCGTTACACACATCTCACGAGAACTGCGCGTTACTTATTGTTAACACATATAGGTTCTGATCTTAGCAAGAACCAATCTCCTACATTCTCACTTGAGATTAGGGGTGGTTCGGTACGGTATACCTTATATTTTTTCTCATACCTTTGTCATACCAAAACTTTCGGTATGCAAAATTTGCATACCTTTACCTTACCGAAGTTTCGGTATACCGCATTTCGGTATACCGAAGTTTCGGTTCGGTAACGGTACGGTATCGGTAAATTACCGTGCATGTCTCCCAATACAAAAAATTATCATAGACTAACGAAATATACTAAATCGTTATTACTAGCAACATATTAAATCTATTATTAAAATGTTACGAAATACAATTAATAATCTATTGATGTCAATTCAATATTGAACAATAATTATTATTAGTATATTTAAGCAGTTCAACATACCACATATTAAAAAGTAACACTCTCCTAAAATAACTTGAACAATATAGATATAATTAAACCAATAGTGATCTCTAACAAAAATAAATAAAACTATTCAAACAATATGGATATAAAATCATTTATTCCTAATATGATATTGTGTATTTAGTCATTTTTATAATTTTTTAAAAATTGAATAAGACTTTCGGACAAAGTTGTGTGTCTCAACTTGCTGAATCCCTATGTAGATACACTTGTCACATAAGTGTATCTATCTTCACTCGTCAGCTACTTAGCGGCCCAACCATCACGACTTGCAAGCTCTTGGAACAACATGGACTTGTTTCTTGACATTTGTACATTACTCATTAGTCATTTAAGGTTAGCGTAGTAGAAGCCTATAAGGTTACAGTGGGTTTGAGAAATTGGACCTTTATTTCTGTATTTTTGTATTTGTAACTAACTTAAGTATTAATTTTGGGCTTCAAAATTGTAATGGATTTCTACAATATATTAGAATTAAAAGTAATTGTTGAGTAGGGAGTCGGTACGGTATTATACCGGTATACCGCGGTATTTGAAAACATTTACCGTTACCGTACCGAAATAGACCGGTACGGTATGATACCGTACCGAAAATGACGGTATACCAATATTTCGGTATTTTCCGGTATTTTTCGGTACGGTAAGTGCGGTATACCGATATTTCGGTATTTTTGCCCACCCCTACTCGAGATTATATAGAGTATTGATTACTCGACCAAGCCCCACTCAAGCTAGCATTGGGGCGCTCGAGGATTATAATTAGGGGAAAATTCTCAAATTCACTTTGATTACTTGAACAGAAGAGTCGCACATAGAGAAAACTTTAATTATTAGATGTGATCACTACCAAGTACTTATAAGGCTATAACCGTAAATTTGTGTGAATTCTACTATGAATCTATATCTATAGATGTTTGAGAAAAATAAATATTGCCCGATTATAGTATGTAATACCATGGTATACAATCTTCTTTCATTGAGTAACACTTATTTTATTTAATAAGATCATAATACCCTCAATAACTTTAATAAAATAGACTAATGTCATTGCCTTTCAATTAAAAAAACTAATGTCATTGTTGTTGCACAGAGACTCACCTATTATTGTCACTCAGCCTACGATCATCATATCATCGTCACCACTATTAAAATCTAAAAACTGCAATACTCTATAAATTCATAAGGTAAATCACCAAAATAAATGGGGTAAGTCCCCAACTCTCGGTTTCCACTTACCAAATATAATAAATAAAATAACAAAATGAATTTTATACATAGACAAAAATGAAAACAATTTGAGAGAATACAGTATAAAATGACAACATTAAATACAAATGTACATAATATCTTCATTGAGTCTATGAAGCCTTTTACAATAATTGGAAGTTCACAATGAGGATTGAAAAGATAATGTTGGTGTTCATGAAAAGATGAGGATTGAAAAGATGGTGTGCTGTCGATTTAAATCAAGTTGCGGTGCATGTCTACATCTTTACTCAGTCTTCCACTCTCTTTAGATATCATGGAGCGATATGGACACCGTCAAATATTTTTCTTTACATTCTATAGTAAAACTTAAAATATAAGTGTATTTTATCACGTGCACGGCACGGGTAAAAATACAAATATTATACAATTGAGAGTCACATTGGAGGAATGCTATTGTCATGTGTCACTGTATTACTCACTCATGACCACATGCCTAGGGGTGGGATTTTGGAACTGGGAACCGTAGAACCGATTGGAACCGAACCGCTAACAACATCTAGGGACCGAACCGTTAACAATTAACACCTCATTTGTAGGAACCGAACCGAAACGAGTTATAACGGTTCGGTTCCCGGTTCCTATAAAAAATATGTGCATGGAACCGTTATGGAACCGTTATTAAAAAAAATAAAAAATAAAATAATACTAGTAGTAGTAGTAGTAACAACAACAACAACAACAATAATAATAATATAATAGCAATAATACCACCACCACAACAATAACAATAAAACAATACTCCGTATAAGATATTCAACTAACGATTCTAATTTAATCAAAGAAAACGAAGTAATAAATGTTGAGGTTGATATAAATTTTGTTCCATCACATAAATTTTATAAATATAAATAACCCAAATAACTTGTAGTTGATTGCACATATTTTACTTTACTATTTTCATGATATTTCTAATTATTAGATTTATTATGATCAATAGAACGCACTAATGTTTTTTATATCTATACATGCGAACTCAATGTATTTTTTTATGTTTTGAAAGACTTGAAGTAGGCGTCCTATTCTTGCTACTATGATGATGAGTAACGTTCATTGCTCCCCTACTACAACGATTTTTATGTGTTATTTATTACATGAAAATTTAAATCATCTTTTATTCTATTAAGTGTTCACAGTTCATTAGTTAAGTTTGAGCTTTGATATTTGAAGTGATTAGAGCTTCAAATAAAATTTTAATACTCGTGTTTTGAATTTTCGACGTGTTTATGCTGTTTGTAGAAAGTAAATTATGTGTTAATTCTTATATGAGAAAAAATTATTATAGGAACCGGTAAAAAGAAGAACCGAACCGTTTACTACCGGTTCGGTTCCATAACGGTTCTTGATTTTTTATATAAGAACCGAACCGATTTCATTAGTTAAAACTTTTATAACGGTTCCACTCATTTTGAGTAAGAACCGAACCGATCCCAGCCCTACACATGCCACTATAATATTTATTCATATTTAAAATCTAATAACACGCATTCATCACAAGTATTCTCATTATATCATTTATTACAATTTTTTTAATTTAGCCGTTAGAAATTACAATTGCCATAGACAATATAACCTTTAACTTCTTTCCATTTATGGGTTTGGGATATCCATTTTCTAATGCGTGTAAATAAGTAAATATATATAGACGACAAGAATACAATTGACATTTATACTATAATCATCTAGCTGCTTTCCATTTAGTCGTTTACTATTATAAAAATTATAGAGTAAATATAATAATTATAATAATTAATATAACAATTGTAAAATTTTGAGAACCATTCCCATTCAGTTGGCTAATATAAAGATGCTCAATTGTCTTCACTTAAAATATAAGATGGTGCGTAA